TCAAATCATATAACATAACATCATGTGAACTATTAAATTAACTTTCACCAAGAAAAAAATCACCTCTGATTTGCATCACTTCATTTCCAGTGATATCGATATTGAACAATACTTTTTTATGTCACTGTAATCTCATTTTACGCAATCAATAGAAGTAAAGATGCAAGGAAAAGCATCTGCTTTTCCAAAATTCTTTCTATCCATAAAAAACCAAACAGAAAAAATAACTAATAAATATGGATGCGCACCGCTGATGAAACCCATAGCAGGACGAAACGGCCGTCTTTCAGTTCTTCCAGGTTTCTAATGGTGGTCTAACAATAAGCTTGATTGATGATTTCAAATGTGTAACAACACAAAACCTCCAAAAACTCTGCCCGAAAATATCGTACCAGTGCTCACTATTGACTAGCTTCGTGAGGAAATTTTCAGAGTTCTAGTGAGAAGACGTGACCAATGGAGTTCAACCCTATCGGGTGTAGGCAGTAACTACCAAAGACAAATGGGTGAGATCGCGCACAATCCCTAGATCAGTCAGAGTTAGACATTAACACCGTTGGATGTCGGCCGGCCCAGTGGTCCGATGGTTAGGCGTTCGCGCACAATACCGAAGGTCCCGGGTTCGATTCCTGGGAGGCGCAGGAGTCGTGGATGAGCACTGTCGAGGAGTCCCATACCAGGACGAAACAGCCGTCTTTCAGTGCTTCCAAGTTTCTAATGGTGGTCTAACAATCAGATCGATTGATGATTTCAAATGTGTAAGAAGCACAAATCTCCAAAAACTCTGCCCGATAATAAATGTGATTAAATTTTCAATAAATCATTATCATTACTCTCTATACAGTAGTATAGAACCTGTTTATTACGAAAGTTCGTCTTTGTCAATTCATCCAATACTAGGTGTAGTGTGCAAGTTATCAATAGTCTCGTGATGACTGATATTCAATGTATTCTTAAACTTCGTAATTCTGTTACGCCTGCACGTAAACACGTCATTTTGATATGCTTGAACTATTACGAGTTTACCTTAGTCGGAAAACGAGAGCGAGGATCTGGCGACACAACATGCTACTCAGTATGGCAACATGAAATCATGTACTTATGTACAAAGTTATACGTTGCATCTGACTGAGTGACTGCCTGACTGACATGCTACTCAAATCCGATTATCCCAACCCTCATATTGAGTAAAAATGAGAAGACTTGATATGAAGTAGAACCTGTATTCTACAAGCATCCAGAAAGTACGAAGTCGTTATAGCTTCAAGCGTACCTATTGATGAACATAACAAATTCGAGTGGAGAAGACTAGTGCGCCAACTTCACTTGACTCCATTCACTAATGTGCTTGCCATGCCCTGCGTGCTTGTGGTCTGCTGGTCTGCTTTGTGATGTGCCAAAAATAAACATATTCAACCCCTCGTGTTTGCCTTCTGGTTTATAACAGTCAGCCGCTACGTAGTGAAGATTGCCTAGACGAGCAAATTACGAAGACTAAGAGAACACGTTGGATATCCACTATCACTTCACAAGTGATACACTGCCTGCCGTCGAATCTAACGCTGCCAACACAAGATAACTTTTGACTGAGTCGGTAAAGTAAATCTTTGATAAATTTTCAATCATAAACAACATCTCTTGAGAGTTTTATTTATGTAAAAAAAGTATTTTTTTCTTGACTCAAAATGGTTTTAGTCTGTGTATATTTGTTGCTCATAATTCACACCTAATGCGCAACTCCTCATGACGCTGAATATGTACTGTATCTGTGGGTCTCTACTGATACAGTCTTATTAACTAAACAACGGTCAGTCAGTCAGTCAGTTACAACGTAGAACTTAGTACCTACGTAAGTACGTAAGTTCAGGTTGTCATACCACAGTAGCACACAGAGAAGCAATTGTCAGTTCAAATCTCATAGTAGTAGAGATAGTAGCGGTATTAGTGGTAATAGATAAGATATGATTCATGAAGTATAAATCAGTGAGATAAATTTTGAAAGAAAAAGTTGGATGTGATGAAGAATTCAAAAGATTAGGATCTGAGAAAACGCAAAGAGTGGATGCACCTGCGTCATCGCAAACAATTTTGAGCTATATCGTTCAAGATCTCTAACCATTGGTGACTTACATCTCGCGTGCCCTAACCAGGCAGTCTGCATCTATTTACATGGCTTAGTTCACTTGTCAATGACTTCGTAGATTTCTGCCATGTTTTGGTTTGGCCGCTCCTAGCTTTCTTCCAATCTACTCCTACACTACAAAACATAGCTCGTCGCGGCAGTCGGTGGTTAAGCATTCGTAACGCATGTCTCAACCACCTCAACTCATGCAGTTTCAATACTCCATCTATAGATTCGACACCGCTACTCAGTACCATTTTCCTTATATCAGCACTGTTTACTCGGCAGATCAAGGATACATGAGAAACTCTTACCGGCCATGTTTCGCATCAGTATAATAGGACGGAGCGAACTACTGCGCAGTAAACTCGTCCTTTGGTTAGTAAACGGATATCTCGCCTATGCCATAAGTTGACAAAAGCCAGTCGAACTTTCTATATCCGAGCTGATATTTCGTCAGTCACCACGCCATCAGGTGAAGCGGTCAACACGCTCAACTATTTCACTCGTTACCGCTAGTTCAAGCGGTGAAAATGAATCTCATATGTATAATCTAATTCATTGGTAGCCCAATAATTTAACCACTAATCTATTAGGGGTTAACTAAAACTTTCACATGGTTTGTATATTATCCCTCTTTGAAAAAACAATTAAATTAAATTAAACCTCTTCAATACACTTACTTTTCGAATTATATCTTTACTCCCTAATCTTCTCTCCATTACTGCTAATAATTCTACTATCACTATCACTATCTTCGATTTGAACTGACAGTTACGTCTCTGTGCTGATGTGTGGTGCGACAACGTGAACTGATGTACTTATGTACGTACGAAGTGGTTCTGCGTTGTATCTGTCTGTCTGTCTAAATAGCAGTACTACTGTGGTGCTGTGGTGCGAACTACTTATAAGTAGTATATAGCGTGAGTGTCAACGTAAAGTCTGGTAGCATAATATGGGGGGAAGATCAAGAAAGGAAGAGTCAGAAAACAATGGAATTTGTATGAAACGCATGAAGAGTGACAATGGATTGATGTTTGGCAACAGGAACAGTCCAGTTCCATAGGATGAACTGATCCTTTGCAAATGAACGATTTACGATATGGTTTTCCGATTTTACTTAGTAACCCTGTAATTTTCGTTAAATACAATTCGGTTGCCCCACCTGTGTTCTCTTTCACTACATTTGGTGTCGCTGCCTACGCAAAGGATGAAGATTCCATGGCCGAAGGAGTTTGAAGACGGGGATGTGCGGGGCTTCCTGAAGGAGTTTGAGGCCGCGGCGGAGCTGGTGGGGGTGAAGGAACCGAAGGCGAAGCTGGTGGTGCTGGGGACGCTGCTGAGAAGAAGGGCGAAAGCTGTATATGACGGCTTGGACGGTGCTGGCGGGAAGACGCCATGGGAGGCGGTCGTTGGGCGGCTGATGACCGAGTTCGACAGCCCGGGGGACAGGGAGGAGGCGTTGCGGAAGTTCCGGTTGGCGAGGCTGGCGGGTGATGGTGACCCGCTGGTGCTCGCTGTGGAACTCAAAAGGTTGCTGCGCCGTGCGTTGCCGAATATCGATGAGGAGTCGGAGGCACAATTGTTGGCGTCGCAATTTATTGAGAGTGTGCCTGCCGCTGTGTCCCAGCAGCTGAGATTAGTAAATGCAGCACAACCTATGGACATCGGTGAACTGGCGAAGGTGACTCGTCAGCTGATGACACGAACACGAGCTCCGGTCGTGTGCGAAAAGCAGGAGATAAATACTTTCGAGAAGAAGATTGTGGAGTTAGAGCGTGAGATAGCAGCATTACAAGTAAATCATAAAAGGAACGATAAATGTTACGCATGTGGAGAGGCAGGACATTGGAAGATAAACTGTCCAAGAAGACGACGACGACGATATTTTAAACATTATAACGTGTTTTCTTTCCACCCTACGAAGAGGGCCAGGGTCAGGTAAGCTGATCCCGAAGTGGGAGGGACCGTACGTCGTCACCGAGGGGCGCGGCGCAGTGTATACGATCCAGAAAGGAAACAAACAGAAACGCGTGAATGCCAGTGAACTCCAAAGGTGGTTCCAAGTGCGCCAAGAGGGCGAGCCACAAACACTGATGAAGAAGACGGCTGTACGGAGATCAGAAAGACTGCGACGACAGCTTATTAAAAGGGGGGACGGGTGTGGTGCTGTGGTGCGAACTACTTATAAGTAGTATATGACGTGAGTGTCAACGTAAAGTCTGGTAGCATAATATGGGGGGAAGATCAAGAAAGGAAGAGTCAGAAAACAATGGAATTTGTATGAAACGCATGAAGAGTGACAATGGATTGATGCTAGGCAACAGGAACAGTCCAGTTCCATAGGATGAACTGATCATTTGCAAATGAACGATTTACGATATGGTTTTCCGATTTTACTGAGTAACTCTGTAATTTTCGTTAAATACAATTCGGTTGCCTCCACCTGTGTTCTCATTCACTACACTACTATCCTTGTAGAATCTGCCGTAAGAGCAAAAGTTTAGTTAAATGAATATTACTATTAGGAATGAAATTGATCTTTCTTCGGTTACCTACTGAAACTTTATCGCCCACCTTTTTAATTTTAACCTTCTGAATTCCTCATCAACCTTTATCTTTCTCCTTCTAAATTCATCTCACTGAATTATACTTCTCGAATCATATCGTCGCTCCTTAATCTTCTCCATTACTGCTAATAATTCTACTATCACTATCACTATCTTGGATTTGAACTGACAGTTACATCTCTGTGCTAATAAGTGGTACGACAACCTGAACTTGATGTACTTATGTACGTACGAAGTGGTTCTGCGTTGTATCTGTCTGTCTGTCTGTACTATTCATTATTTTTCTGTTTTTTTTTCATTTTATTTAGGATGAATTAATAATTCCATTCATCAATTGGATACATACAGATAGAAGATGTGTATGTGTGTGTGTACACACATGTGGAACATGTTGGCGTTGTTGGCGTTCTTATTTTTCCTAAAATAAACTTTCATTTCCAGTCGATAGATTATTATTATTACTATTATTATTATTATTATACAGTATGTTTTGTTCATTTTCAATGCATAAAATTGAAAAAAAAAACTGCTGGTCTTACATCTGAAAACAATTCCCTCTTTACTGATGATTAACTCTTTTCATTTCATCTGTAAAACCCGGTTTCTTGATTTTTTTTTCACACACTGTAAGAATCCACTCGCTCGCTCGTTGGTTACATGTGTGTAGTTTATTTTACACAATGTATCAAAACACACAAAAATATATACAGATATCAATGATTACTACTGTATCTCATTCATTCATTAATCAATCTCTTTACACTGACTGTATGATGGATGGATGGATGATAGAAATTACTTATCATGCAAATAATTCATATTCATTTACATTTATATTTTGATTGTTTTTTTATTGATCAAAGTGAAATTGTATGGTAGTTAGATGGTCATATCTTTTTTTTTTCTCTAACACAGATGAACTATTGGTTTCTTAATTAATTATTCAGACAATATTTTGTTATGTGTTACTGTGTATGAGTGTAAATTGTGGACTAGTAGTCGGAGTAGTAGTAGTAGTAGTAGTAAAGTGTAGAGAACAAAAAAGTAACATAGCAGTGGGGATCAGGGTGGGGAAAGCTGATCCCAAAGTGGGACGGACTGTACGTTGTCACGGAGAGACGTGGCGCGGTGTATACGATCCGGAGAGAAGACAAGCAGAAGCGCGTAAATGCTAGTCAACTGCAGAGATGGTTTCAAGATTATCCAGTGTATGAGTCACGAAAAGCACCAAAGAAGACAGCGGTACGGCGATCAGAAAGACTACGACGACAGCTTAATAAAAAAGGGGGGACGAGTGTGGTGCGAGCTACTTATAAGTAGTATATGACGTGAGCGTCAACGTAATGTCTGGCAGCCGAAGATGGGGGGAAGATCAAGAAAGAAAGAGTTAGAAAACAATGGAATTTGTATGAAACGCATGAATAGTGACAATGGATTGATGTTTTGCAACAGGAACAGTCCAGTTCGATATGATGAACTGATATTTTGTAAATTAACGATTTACGATATGGTTTTCCGATTTTACTGAGTAACTCTGTAATTTTCGCTAAATACAATCCGGTTGCCCCACCTGTGTCCTCGTTCACTACAATAGTAGTAGTGTGGTGCGAGATACTTATAAGTAGTGTATGACGCGAGTGTAAACGTAATGTCTGACAGCAGAAGATGGGGGAAGATCAAGAAAGGAAGAGTGGGAACACAATGGAATTTGTATAAAACGCATGAATAAGTGAAATGTCAGACAATGGATTGAAGATTTGCAAATTAACCGTTTACGATATGGTTTTCCTATTTTACTGAGTAACTCTGTAATTTGCCCTCACCTGTGTTCTACTTCACTACAGTAGTACTCGGAGTAGTAGCAGTAGTAGTAGTAGTACATAAGTTCAGGTTGCCATACCATATTAGCAGAAAGAATCAATTTTCAGTTCAAATCCTTTAGTCACAGAGATAAAAGAAATATTAGCGGTAATGGAGAAGATTAGGGTTTGCAGACATGATTCGAGAAGTATTACTCAAAAGGTTAGAATTTGAGAGAGCACAATGAATGAATACACCTGCGCCATCGCAAACGGTTTTGAGCCATGTCGTTCAGCGTCTCCAACCATTGGTGACTTTCGTTTCGCGGACTCAAACCATGTAGCCTATATCTAGCAACATGACTGAGTCCACTTGTCAGTGACCTCATCGATTTATGTCACGTTTTTGGTTTGGCCGCACCTAGGTTTCTTCCAACTTACTTCTACACTGCAAAAAATCGCTCGTCGAGGCAGCCGGTGGTTATGCATTCATACCACACGTCCCAACCACGTCCATTGATGAAGTTTCACTACTTCATCTATTGGTTTGCCATCCCCACCTAGAACTCGTTTGCTAACGACAGCATAGCTTACTCAGTTGTCCCAGGTGGTGCTGACATCGGTTCATATTAGTCTAACTCTCACAAACAGAGAGTGAATTAAGTTTCTTTTCCCGCTCAATGGGACCCACATTTGAAAGCTTATATTTGGGAAATTGTCAGTACAATACTCTTCGAATGAGCTGTAAGTTAGTTAGAAAGGGATCTACTTTTGATTCTATCTACTACATCAGTAAATTGTCCATAGGACATGTTATCCAACCTGAAAGTATATTGTTGAAGTAATTTACTTGAATAGTATTCGATTTCTCCTACTTGAAGTAAATGCTGTTGAAAGTTTCCCGAATCACAGTGATATCTCAAAGAATGAAACATTAGTGAAAACACCTAAATGAACCACAAAACATTCTCTATCATTTCATAATGTTTCGTTAACTATATGTTTGTCAGTCAGAATTTTACGAAAAATCTTCATTTGTTTATATTGAAATTATCTCTCAGTTACAACGTACAACTTTGTACATGCAAACAGAAATTAGCACACAGAGACGTAATAGTCATTTCAAATCCCATAGTATGGTAGAGATAGTCAATATTGAAATTATGATTTGTCAGAATCCACTATTTTACTTGCATAATCACGTGAAATATCTAATTTCTGATTTGATTGGTGGTTTTGATAAAGTGATAAATTATGTGGTCGATCGATCGATCATGTAGAAAAATAAAATTGCTGCTTGAAAAGTTAATAAATTTTATTGTTACTGGTGTTTTTGGATACGACAAAAAGCAAAGTATTTGGATTTTCGCAGTATATTTAAGAAAGAAATACTTTTACTGAAATAAAATATTCTGTAGCTGAGAAATTACACGTGTACATGTGTACGAAGTTCATTTCCCGAGTATTTGATTTATTTTCTACTCTATGGTTCAAAGTTGCTTACTCTTCCCGTTCTGCTGATGATCTAATGAGGGGAACCATGGGATACAACTGGACGACTTTAACTTCACAAATGATCTAGCCCTTATCTCTCACATTTAGGCGTTGAAATATGAGATTGAAGGAACGCAGACTGTGTTCGGAGTATAAATCGTGAGAAACAGAACACAAAATCAGCTTTGACTGGACCAAAAATCTAGTTCACAAAGAGTTTTTGTAGCATATAAAGAGAGAGATTGACACCAGCAGCGGTTTAATACAGATCGGAAAATCAGAGCAGTTTAAACAGAAAAGATGGTCTACAATTAATCACCCCAAGGAAAATGACCATTTTTATCAAAAGAGAGGATATGAACCTCATCTCATCTCCATCTTGTTGTTTCATTCACATGTAATTAATTAATTTTACTAGGTAATTGATAACGCTCACTTTAAATACACATTCGACTTCTAAGTAAAAAAAAACAGGACTTTTATGTTTACGTTTAATAAATTATTGATTGATATTAATTCACTGAATATCGGCTACTAAGACTATTAGTTTTCACTTACATATATACTTTAAACATATTCATTTGTTAATTTTCCGCTTTGATGAAATTTTTATTATATCTCACCCACGACCGTAGCTGCTACCTTGACGTGGTGATCGGCCTTGCTTATCGTAATGACCCAATCGAAGTTTATTGGCTGGAACTGATGTTTCTGTAGGTCCGACCATGGCAGGCAGGTCGACTGAAGAACGGGAAGACTAAAAGCAGCTATTCGAAGTCTAGAAGGGGTTTCTGGGGACCCAGGAATGACGTTTCGTGAACTCACATCGTTTGCAATAGTGGTGCAGTGAGGTAAAGGAATGTGATGAGAGTTAGTCATGGAGATAAGAGAGATAATAGGGGGTGCAGGAAGGATTTGATTTTGACCAATTCGGTCTCGTGTGTTGTTACAGTTATGAGGGCAATTGTCACTTCCCGGCTACTCACACCGTGGAAGGGTGTTTCTTGAAGAACCTGACGGTGTGACCACGGAACCCAGGAGACAACTGCTTCAGGCAGGTAACGCATGGCCTTTTTATGGGTAGCATTTAAGGTGTTAGCTCCGATCCTATTTAAAAGGCTTTACTGCCGGAAACGGAAATCCGTGAGGTAGGATGAGGTGTGATATTGTTAGGGTTGACCTTTTCTAACTCCTTCCTTCCTTGTGAGAAGGCAGCATCGCTGCAGATGCTGGTTGTCCGAGGGAAACACCTAACTACTGCCACACCCCTCTGCAATCAGCAGTACGATTTCGCCCTCAGACCTTGAGTAGCTGCTTTTAGTCTTACCGTTATCCGGTCGACCTGCCTGACATGGTAGAACCTTCAGGAACATATATTCTAACCAAAATAGCTCGATTGGGTCAACACGACAGGCAAGATCGACCACCACACCAAGGTAGCAGCTATGGTAGGGCTTTATCATCTCAGGAAATCGTATAAGCATAAATCTTAAAATCCATTTTATTGTGAGCTGGTTATTTAATAAACCAAGTATTGGACATGGATTCCAAATCGATTTCATTCTATCAGCGTCAGCTATAAATGAGGAAACGAGCAGCCAATATTTGAATGTTTGGATTTTGACTAGTAACAGAAACTAAGCTGACTCTTTCAGCCCCACTTCTCACCCATCATTTGAGTATTTTTGAATTACGATATTGGTGTAAACACTGAGACTTGGCCTTGGTACTTATCTGCTATAAAAACTGATACATTATCTATCACGCTGCTGAATTAGCAAAACTATCGACTAGTACGATATTTATTTTTTGTAAACGTCTACTTATTTTAGTTTTGAATATCAACAAAAGAAGCAACATAAATCATCAATCAATCATTGTTAGACCACCATTAGAAACCTGGAAGCACTGGATGGCCGTTTCATCCTGGTATGGAACTCATCAGTGGCAGTGCGTATCCACGACTCTTGCACCTCGCAGGATTCGAATCCGGGACCTTCGATATTGTGCGCGAACGTCTAACCATCGGACCACTGGGATGGCATCCAACGGTGTTAATGTCTAACTCTGATTGATCTAGAGATTTTGCGCGACCTCACTTATTTGTCTTTGGTAGTTACTGCCTACACCCGACAGGTTTGAACTCCCGGGTTCAAATCCTGCGTGGTGCAGGAGTCGTGGATGCGCACTGCTGATCAGTCCCATACCAGGACGAAACTGCCGTCCTGTGCTTCCAGGTTTCTAATGGTGCTCTAACAATCAGATTGGTTGATGATTTCAAATGTGTAAAAACACAAACTTCCAAAACTCTACCTGAAAAGTAAAATAAACTCTGATAAACACTCAATGTTCAATAGCCGTTGGTTTTTTTTTACTGTTAATGAGAAAAGTTCATCTCTTTTTTAGAAATACAACCATAGATCAGTCAATATGAAAGTTCATAAGTACTTTGTTTTATTAAATATGTTTGGAACCTTGTTTCAAGTTCGAAACTAAATTTTTAAAATCTTGCATTTTCGCCAATATTTAATGTAAGGAAGTGAAATTTGTCAAGCACCATTGGCTTTCTTTGAACGATTACTAATATGTATATTCCAAATGTTTGAAAAGTTAATTTGACTTTTAACAAAGCTTCGTAGTGATATGTGTAGAACAAACTTTTCTCTTTATTTGTGACTTGTCATTTTGATTAAAACTGCATTT